AAACAATGGCAGGCCCATAGATCAGCAGACCAATATCAAAACTGGGGCAGGCAGACTCTGGAGCAGTTGGCCATGGCAACCAATCATCTTCCATCTTTCATTTTCAAAGCTTAACTGAACAAACTGAAGAAAGAAGCTGATTGGTGACTATGCACAACTGCTCAAGAGTCTGTCTGCTCCAGTTTTGATCAATTTGCCCCTATTTATCATAAACAACTGCCCATTTTTTTAATGACAATACTTCTTTAACCTCTTTTTCTCCCATTGCTGCATCTCCTGTACAGTTTCTTCTGAGCCGGGGTCGTTATGGACACATCCCCTGTTGGTACAGTATCATGCCGACCTGAGCTGATAGTAGCGCCGCGCAGGAAAGCACTCTTTACATGAGCACCATTCTGGCCAGCAGTAAAGACCACTCAATGATAAGGGAAAGAGGAGGATGAAAAGGACCCTACACGTCATGTGACCAGACAGAAGACACATAAAAAAGTTTTGTGTATTAAAAAATCTTTTTTTTTTTAAATGCAGCATGGAGGTTTGTGGACAGCAGACCGTGACACAAGGAGACTCAACACTCTGGGCCAGAGGGTATGGTGAAAGAGGACTTTTGGTAGTTGACCCCAAAAAAGGAGGCAAAGAACTAGACATCAGAATAGTTGCATATAATATATTGAGGTGAGATAAATATTTGTGTGAACTGACACGGGTCCGTTGAACTCAGGGCTCAATATGAGTTCCCTATTATTTGCTATTACTGATTTTGGACTGATGAGATCATTTTTGGAGTTTTACAGGGTTATTCACAAAGCTGCCGATGGCAGCCGAGTGAATAACTGAGCCGATGTGAAGTGAGCTGAACGCTGTGCGGCTATTCACTTCAGCCTTGTACGGATGATTTCAGCCATACACCGACTGAAATCAGCCGTACATCGGCCGCCTTCAGTCAGCCGAACATGCAGAGCAAGTCAAAGTACAGAAGGACTTTGATTCAGCCGATCCAACACCTGGATCGGCTGAGCCGAAGCTCCGGCAGCTCTCTCGCTGCCATTCGCCCCTCATAGGGGCCGAACAGCAGTGAGTGAATAGCTGAATGCCACTGAGTGGCATTTGGCTTGGCTATTCTGCTCGCTACCTTCGAGGTACCAAGCAGAATAAAAAACAAGTGACAAGAATGAGAAAAAAAAAAGTTGCAAAATTATTTTTAAAATGATTGAAAAAATTGAAAAAAAATTAAAAATAGAAAAATATTTTAATGAAAAATAATTTAAAAAAACAATTGGGCAGAGCTAGCAGTGACAGCTAGCTCCGCCCCAACTGTTTCCGATTAGCCAGCAACTACCAGAGTCTTCTATCAGGTCCTGGCCAATTAATAACTACTGGGCGTTTGTTATTGTTGTTGTTATTGTTTAATGACAGATCAGCGTCCCCAGGTCATTTGGGGACACTGATCTGTCATTACGACTGGGCGGAGCGAGCTGAGAGCCCAGCTGTCATTTGCTGGGAGAACGGCCGGCCCTTCTCTCTGCTTCGGCTGTCACTGCGGCTCAGTCGAGCGAAGCATATGCCTTCGGCTCGGCTGAGCCACTCGGCCGCCTTTGGCTGCTGTACGGTAATTATGAATAGCCGGTACAGCATCCATTTGGTTCGACTGAACCGAAGGGCAGGGGCAGCCGAAAAGAGCTGAAGGATTATCCAAAGCTACAGCTGGATCCTTCGGCTCCATACTGAACAGGGCAGCCATCAGAAATTTTGGGGCCCCTTACACGGCTTTAGGCCGGGCCCCCCCCCTGCGCCGCTGGACGCAGGGCTCAGTGACGCGCTGGACGCAGGGCTTAGTGACGTGCTGGACGCAGGGCTTAGTGATGCGCTGGACACAGGGCTTAGTGCCGTGCTGGACGCAGGGCTTAGTGCCGCGCTGGACACAGGACCCACCTGAGAGTGACCCTGCAGAGCCCACAGGGCTTAGTGATGCGCTGGACACAGGGCTTAGTGACGTGCTGGACGCAGGGCTTAGTGACGCGCTGGACACAGGACCCACCTGAGAGTGACCCTGCAGAGCCCACCATAGATGCTGTGCAGCCCATCTGAGACTGTCTATGGTGGGCTCTGAAGGGGTCTCAGGTGGGCTGGTCAGGGCTGCATCCATCCCCTCCCTCCTTTCCTTCCTTCCAAGCACCTCTTACATGCACACATTGCCTCCTCTGCCGCCGGACCGGCCAGAAGTGATGTCACGCCACTAACGTGACGTCACTTCCGGCCAGTCTGACATCAGACGAGCATCGTCGCTGATGGGGCCCTAGCTTGTCTCAAAGCCGCTGGAGTAACAATGCTGGGGCCCTGCGCTGCTAGGGCCAGGCCTCCGCCTCCTCGCCCTTCCCCATCGGCCGATAGTCATGGAAGGGACCCGGACGGGCCCCCCAGGCTGCCCGGGCCCCTTACATGAGTATCGGCCGTACCCCCCTGATGGTTGCCCTGATAGTGAATAACCCCCTTAGAGTGTTTTTAGTGTTTTTGCATTGTGGGCTTTGTTCGAGGGATGTTTATATAAAGTTAGATATTCAGGCAACATTATACATTGCCACCACAACCCACACGAGCTACAGTATCAAAATAAACCAATACGTATAACAGGGGCTTTTAAGGTATAATTGGAACACATCATTGATTTGCTCCCATAAAATAACAACATTTTAAAAATAATTATTAAAATCAAAATTCACTTAAAACCAATGTCTTCACAGATCAACGTCATATGCTATGACAATATGTCTCTGCTTCATCAGGAACCACAGGTGAATTTTATGGCATCTGAAATACACAGTGACTGGTCATCAGCCTAAACGGTGCGAGCCGACTCGCTGGTGGGGGCCACCTGGGGAGGCGCCCAACACACAGCTCATAAATAGAGACCGCCGGTCATCCTGAAATATCATGCTGATCTCAATAAGCCAGGGGCAGGATTGCAAACCAGCAGAGGAAAATAATTAAAACACAGGGATGAAGACAGGTTTATACTCAGGGAAACATTTAAAAAAAGCAGACCTGATGGATTACTTGGTCTGTTTCATTCCATTTTCGGTGGAGTTGACCTTCGACCCCTACATTTTAACTACACATATCTTAAAATTGAAGGGGTCGGGCACATAGCTGGCTGAATACAGTTCACAAGACACTACTGCCACTAGATGGAGCTGAAGAGTATAAGAAATCCCTATGCACCTCAGCGCCATCTAGTGTCCAGGACAAATAAAGATGGTGAACAAAGCTCTGTGTTGGCCCAGAGTGTTGAGTCTCCTTCTCCACAAGGTGCAGCACTTTAATATAAAGAAACATGGGGGTACATATACTAGAACTTGCATGCAATCATATTTTTATTTTTTTTATAGTAAATATCAGCCAGCCAAATGCATGGCCTTGCTCACTCAGAAGCTGGGAGACAGTATATGAAGTCAGGCAGATGACAGTCCAGTAACATTAAGGATTCAGGTAGCCAATGATCCTCTAATTGCCTCATTATCAATCACTAGACATGTGCATTCGGATTCGTATGAACCGGCAAATCAACGAAATTCAGTTCATTCAACGGATCGTCCGAATCTGAAATAACAAATTAATTATATGCCCGAATATACTAAAACTATATTCATTTGCAGAACGAGCAGCAGCCATATTGGCCGCCGACACGTTCTGCACAGACGTGCCACCATCTATATATAAGTATATATTGGTATACACCAACATGGTGGCGCCCGAAGGTGTGGCGGCGCGCAAGCGCAGAACAGCTGACATGGCCGCCTCTCATCCTGCATTTCTAGTGTGCATTTTCATATCGGCTGCCGGTGCGTTCTGCGTTCACGCCGCCATCTTTCAGTGGATCTTGGTATACACCGAGATGGCGGTGCCAGTACGTTCAGGCGCCGTCATCTTGGTATATACCAAGATCCGCTCAAAGATAGCAGCCCGCAAGCTGCCGCTCGTTTGGGATTTTCAGTGTGCGGTTTCAGATTCGGGGGCTCGTTGCCTCCGAATCCGAAACAGCAGAAAAATATGTTTTCTTTTTAAAAACAAATGGAAATGTTTTTTCGTTTTTGTAAGCCCTCAGGGGCGGGGCCCTTCTTACCACCTTGTCTTGAATTGTATTGTGATCGTAATGTCTCCCTTATATTGTAAAGCGCAAACTGTTGGCGCTATATACATCCTGTATAATAATAATAATAATATAGCCCTGCAGATGTGGTGGCTGCATTAGTTTTCATCAGTCTTTCTTTCCTCTATTTCCCCCTGGTGATCCAGCCATTAACACACTTCCTGTCCTAGGGTGACAACGTTCACTCACTGTACTGTATCCATACAGGAGCAGTGTTGTCACCCTAGAACACAACTACAATAACCTTTCTGCTTTCTCCAAATATAGAGGTTCTGTAGTCTTTAGAGATGACTGGGAGCAATATACCTGATAAGAGTGCAGCACAGGCAGAGAATGATGGAAGATTTCTGGCAGGATCAATAGGGTTGCCACCTTTTCTTCCATAGAAACCCGAACTCTCTAGCAACGCACAGACATTTTTTGGGGAGTCGCGGCTTATTCATATGTAAATAGCGCCACCCATTTATCTGCTATGAAACCCCAAACACAGCATTCAAAACCCGGACTGTCCGGGTGAATCCGGGACAGATGGCAGGATCAATAGGAATGTTTTTACACTTTTTGAACAAATAAAGAAAATGCTTTTGAGTATACACTGTATACCTAACAGACCAAAATGAACCAAATGGAGAATTTCAGTGTCAGGGTTTAAATATACTTTACATTTAAAAAAAATCCCCCCAAAAACATTATTTGGAAATTCCATAATTGTTTTAGTTACCATTGCATCCCCCTCCATGGCATCACTATACTCAGGGACAGTATCAGGTTTTTAAAATCCACGTTTATTGAACCATTTTCATAAAAAAAAAGAATTGGCCTAAACATGTTATCATGGACATTGACATGTATGTTACTGCTGCTGGATACTTTGCACAGTTGTCGGTATCCCTGCAAGGCGGCAGCAGTTACCGGCCTCCACTAAATAGTCCTTCACTTGCCTGTAGCCGAAGACCATAATACACGAGCTGACGGAGTAGTAAATAGAGGACAAAATCCCATATGAAGCGGAGAGCATGGTGCCTTCATATTCATTTTCCATCACCCCAGAGACGATCAGCAGCCAAACCGTGTCACTGGAAATCCAACAGACGACATAGAGAGATAGAAGAGACAACAGTATCTTTGTGGCCTGGGCTGTATGCTTGTTCCAGCCACGGCTGATGGCCATCGAGTCCCTCACTTGCCTCCGATGTCTACAGATAAGGTCAATCGTAAAGCCATTCAAGAGAATGACAAGGACGATGAGCAAGAAGTCCACACTCACCGTGACGTAAGTCAGAATCCTCACCAGTCTGTTTTGTGATGGCCCAATGCAGTTGGTGCTTGTCATCATGGAGTTGCTCTTATTACGAACATTTATTGACTCTATGTACAGGAGATAAGGGATGTGGTAGATGATGCTGATGACCCAGCAGCTGGCGAGTGACCAGTTAACGTACTGGGCTTGATGACGATGGATGAACTTCCACCAGCGGTGGCTAGGCCTCCTTATTTTGAGGAGGTGAAGGAAGCTCAAGTTCTCCACTGACCAAATGCTGATCAGGCACAAGGTGTGATAAAAATAAAGCAGAATCTTGCAGCCCCACGGCCCGAAAACCTTGGCGTTGAAGAAAAGAAGCAACCCGGGGATCTCCTTGTAAAAACACAACAGGAGGTTGACCACCGCCATGTTCACAATGATTCTGTCCAAAGGCTGGAAGACCCTGTTTTTGATGGCATTGCTAACAAAGGCAAAAATAAGAACCAAGTTTGCCACGGTGCCAAAAAGTGCAGAGAAATAAATGATAAGGGAGACAATGTCTGGGCCACTTAATAGCATAGTTTGTAAGTTCCTCTGTCTCTTTTGCCTCGTCTAGCCTCTGCTGGCCCAACTTACATCTCCGGCACTCGTGTTCTTTATGAACGCAACCCTCGTGCTTTTGATTCAATTATGTCGCACCTGGACAGCTGGATTCCTTTTAAGGTCTCCTCCAGTGAGAACAGAAGGTGTGATTCCTTTATCACAATTGCCATGGTAGCATTTATTTCCACCGTGATAGCTTGAACATTCTGCAGAGCGGTTTAGTGATGTTGTAATATGTCAATGGAGAGAAACAGCAATAGCGTACTACACACCCAATACAATTATGCCTTAAGGTGTAAGTAAACTCCAAAAATATTGTTTTCCAGTATTTGGGTACTATGTGTCACTGTATACAGTTTTCTTAAAGGGTTAGTTCACCTTTTTGGGGAAAAAAAGATGAACTATCTCACGACATCCTCCCCTCTTCACTTATCTCCTGCATGTCCACGCCAGCTGGTGCAATGGGCCAGACACTTGAAGCATTTCACATGTAAACGAACAATCGGCTTCCTCACTCTACATTTAGTCCTGCTGGTGCAAAGCGGAGAGGGCAACTTACCGCACGACGCCCGCAACTTCCCCACAAGGACACCGCCGCCGCCGTACAGCGCTGCATGACGGAATAAATGTCAGTCAAAGTACCGCAGCGCTGAATACTGAAAAATGGCCTGGATGGGAAAGGGGATTTAACACCCCAGATGTCAACTGGTTAAACGTAAAAAATATATATATTTTTTTTTTTAGCCAAAAACGCGTCAAAAACACGTCTAAAAGACTAGCGTGCGTGTGCAGAAACCTGACCGGATCTGCTCTGCATTTGGTGTGAATAAGGCCTTACAGTGCAGGGAGAAGAACCCATCGATACAGGTAAGCGGATAGGGGTCAGAGGATGTCGACGTGACCAGGTTACACCCTGAATTTTGGGTGCAGCATGAAACATGATATAAAAGGTGGAATTGTCTTTTAATAAGGATGACGATTCTGCATTTTTCCACCGACAACTCTGATTCAGTTTTGAGCAGAGCTGCACGTGGTTTCCATTTTGGTTCGGGTAGACATACTGGGCGGAATTGATCAAAACTGGAGCAGACAAAACCTGGAGCAGATTTGCATTGCAACCAATCAGCTTCTATCACTCATTTTTAAATCCCAACTGAACAAACTGAAGACAGAAGCTGATTGGTTGCCCTAGGCAACTTCTCCAGTTTCTGTCTGCTCCAGTTTTGATAAATTCCCCCCTCACTGTATGCAATGTATACATACTATATGCCCCCACTTCAGAAGATGGCAAATGTCTCCTTAGACATCATGAGCTCCTCTAGCCACATAGGTGCGATGTAGCCAGGCAATGGAGAGCCTGAGAATACACAGCTGGCTGACACATTAAGATAAAGCGCAATCTATATAGTATTTGTACACATGAGACGTGTGTAAACACTACCCAGTTCATTAGCTGGAGGCCCGCTTATGAGTCATTAGCAGAACACTTTCACCTTATTGTCATTAGTGTTTATGGGAAGAGACGTCAGCGTGTAGGGTTCTGCTTTCCCAGATTGATCTATATAATAACTTCAAGAGAAGTTGTCACCATCGGGTTTTTGGTGGAATATTCAGTCATACATTTTTAGAGCCGTGGAGGCTAATTTAAAAAATGTTTATACAAGATACCAGAGCCCTGTGTAAAGTCTGTATTTGCATCTTTACACCTGTACTGAGAGGATATGTAAGGGGATCAGTACCTGTGAATACAAACTAATAGTCACCAACCTGGAACAAGCATCCAAATTTTGCAGTGCCTTATTCCCCTGTTGTACACACAGTGCCTCATGTATCTGTATTATATGTCCTGCCTCATGTATCTGTATTATATGTCCTGACTCATTTATCTGTATTATATGTCCTGCCTCATGTATCTGTATTATATGTCCTGCCTCATGCCTCTGTATCACACATAGTGCCTCATGTATCAGTATCACACATAGTGCCTCATGTATCTGTATTATATGTCCTGCCTCATGTATCTGTATCCAGGGATCCCAACCTGAAAGAAGCAATTTCAGGGAGGTGTCCCTCTCATTTCAGGGAGGTGTCCTCCCCCTCCCCCATCCGCGGAGGGGGGGCTAGGGGGGGCTGGGAGAGAGCACCCCCCTGAAATGAAGGCAGATAGCACAGTAAGCAATAGCTTCTTTGCTATCTGCAGGTTTTTTTTCTGATTTTTTTTTTAGTATTCTGACAGTTACAGTCGCTGAGCCGCTATATAATAGCGGGAGACTCCCAGAGCGTCCAGGAGAGTTGGGATGTCTGTGTATCACACATAGTGCCTCATGTACCTGTATCACACACAGTGCCTCTTGCCTCTTTGTTAAACAAAGTGCGTTATGCCTATATTATGGTACAGCACCTTTTCTTCTCTTTTTTTCTTCTTCACTTCTCTTATCTTTTTTTCTTCTTCTCTTCCCCTTCTTTTCTTCTCTTCACCTTTCTTCTCTTTTCTTCATCTTTTCTTCGTTTCTCTTCTTTCTTTTATCCTCTTCACTCATTTTCTATTTTCTTATTCTTTCTTCTCTTCCTTGTCATCTATTCTCTTTACTTTTCCTATCTTCTCTTCTCTTTTTTTTCTTCTCTTCTCTTTACTCTTTTTCTCTTTTCTTTTTCGTCTCGTTTTTTTTTCTCTTCTATTCACTTCTCTTCCTTTTCTGGTTTCAAAGTTTTTATTGAATTTTAACAGTGTATATCATACAAAATACAGTAAACAATACTGTGATGCATGTAATGAAGAGACGTGGAGATAATTGGTACTATTGGGTAATATGCTTTTATGATCTCAGTATCTCAGAGCGTCTCGAAACAGGAGAGTATCAAGAGTAAAAGGAACAGAACGGATAAGGGAATCCGAAGTGTTGTACTTCTCTTCCTTTTCTGCTCTTCACCTCTCTTCCTTTCCTTCTCTTCACTTTGTTTTTTTTTTTTCTCTTCTCTTTCTTTTCTTCTCTTCGCTCTTTTTCTCTTTTCTTTTTCTTTCCTTTCTTCTCCTTTTTCTAATCTTTGCCTTTACTTTTTCCTTTTCTTTTTTTTTTCTTCACCTTTCTTCTATTTTCTTCAATTCTTCTCTTTACTCTTTGTCTCTTTTCTTCTTTTTTTCTTCTCTTCTCTTTTTTTTGTCTCATCACTCTTCTCTTTTTTTTCTCTTCCTTTTCTTCTCTTTCTTTTCTTTTGCCTCCTCCCTCTTTATTACATGCAGTGCCCCATGCCTTTGTGCTAGACAAAGTACTTATCCCCTCTCTATTACATACAGTGCCTTATATACAATTCACAGAACCCTTTGCCCTCAAAATATCAGTGAAGGTTCTTTTGTGCGAACAATGCCGAACGTATTGAATATATTTTTTTCAGGTTGAATGTATTATGATTTCACACTGCATTTAATGCATAACACTGGCATTATGGCCACTAGATGGATCCAAGGAGCATAGGAAATAAGAATGTATTGCTTATGCCCCTCAGCGCCATCTAGTGGTCATACTGCAGTATTACATTCCATTGCATTACATTTGCCCTGAAAAGAAAACGTATTAAGGGAGAACTATGGGGTCAGCGCTAGTTTGTGTCCTCCCGTTACCCTAAGCTCAGTATACCGCGAGCTACAGCTTGCGGTATACTGAGACGCCGCAGTCGGAGAGGATACCGACATCGCTGTTGAGATCCGCCCAGCTGCGTGAGTGACAACTGGCTCTGCCTATCTAGAGGCAGAGCCAGCTGTACCCGCCCCTTCCCCATCGGAGTGGGGAGGGGGGAATCCCGCCCCCTCCCCCGTCTGTTCCGCCAGTCAGCGCTGGTGGATCGGAGGGGGGAATCCAGCCCCTCTCCTGTCACGGCAGAGAGCCGTGACAGGATCGAGAGTTGAGCGAACGCCCGTATGTGTTCGCTCACCTCCCGATCTACTGAGCCGACCTGTGACGGTCTCATTGTCACAGGTCGGCTAGAACTATGAGGTGAGTGGAAATCACTCACCTCATAGTTCTCCTTTAAGAATTGGCACTAAAGGATTGCAAATTTGTTTAATGAACAAGGCTGAAAAACACATTAGCATCGGTGTATCATCCCTGTAGACATAAGCGGGCAAAAACAAGCAGCATTCAAATATTCAAAGCAAATGTTAATCTGATCATGATTTCTTGTGGGGAACTGCTGGAAATTGCTGTTTTTAGTGTTATGCTGTTAGATTTCTGCTGCATATTGACTGCTGGTATCGTCCACAGGAGAACTTTATTGAGGACACCATGATTACTATTACTATGATAATAAAGAGTAGATGCATAGTCCTATACAACCGGCCCTTTGAGGGTAACCATACTGCTGATGCGGCCCCCGATGAATTTGAGTTTGCCACCCCTGCTTTAGAGCATGAGATTATCATTGATAACAATAATGACTAATAATATTCTTTTTTATACAAAAAAATGCAGTATACCAAATTACCGCTAGAGGGCAGCATATTACATTCTTTCATTAGCCCAAAAAAAAGGGTTATTCACTAAGCTGCCGCAGTGAGCAGAGCCAAAGGACTTTCGGCTATTCACTCTGGCTCAGTATGGCTGATTTCAGCTGTACATCGGCTGCACTTCAGTCAGCTGAACATGCTCTGCAGAAGAGCAGGAGTACTTCGACAACATCTGGATCGGCTGAGCCGTAGCTCCAGCAGCTCACTCGCTGCCGTTCGCCCCTATTCATATTTGACTATTCTGCTTGGTACCTCTGTGGTACAGAGCAGAATAGAAAATAGTGAAAATAGTAGGTAAAAAAGGGTTTTTTTTAAATGTTAAAAAAGGATTTTTTTAAAATGTCAATAAATAGTGAAATTAAAAATTAAATAAAGATATTTAAAAAGAATAAAATAAAAAAAGAATTGGGCAGAGCTAGCAGTGACAGCTAGCTCCACTCCACTGTTTCTTATGGCCGGCAACTGCTAGAGTCTT